GCAGACATTGAACACGTCATCATCATCATCATAAAATTGTACTTCGTTTAATTCATTTTTCATAGGAACAATTTCCATAGTTGATAATTTTAACATAAACTGAGTGTGGTGGTGGTGATTTAAAAGTTTGGGCGAACATGATTCATTTGGAAAAAGAATAAAGAATTACTCATTGAAATGATTTCATGTAAGATTTTAAGGCCTCAATGACATTAAATCGGTGGCTTATGTGCTTTAAATCAGAATGTAAAGCATTGTCAGACGTACTTCAGTTAAACCAGGTAAGCAATATAATTAGTCTTTATACAGCAAACGTGATGCGCAGATTTGTACTCAAACTGTAATCATACAACCTTATTGATCATACAGAAACCGTGACCGGTGGAGTTCAATCCTGTCGGGTATAGGCAGTTACCTACCGGAGACAATGGGTGACGTCACGCATTACGTTGGATTGATTAAAATTAAACAGTAACATCGTTGGATGATGGCTGTGTTCGCGCGCGAGGCAAAGGTCCTTGGGTTCGATTCCTGTGTGTTGGGGTTGTAAATTCGAACTGCTGATGAGTCCCATAATAGGATGAAATCGCCATCCTGTGCTTATAGGCTTTTAATGGTGGTCTACTAATGATCGGTTGATGATTTCAATAAAGGATATACAGATTTTCTTTCATAAAGTGTACTATGTAAGCAATACTGTTAAGAATCAATGAAGTATAATAATTAGTGATATAAAACTACGTTTTAAAATGTTGATTAATCAAGTAAGAAAGGAATAAGTCAAGGAGACAATGTTTTACTTGAAAAATATGTGATCAAGAAAATTTTTCCAAATTTGATTTTCTAATGATTGAAATGCCATCATCCGCCTAATTTTTTACGCAAAAGTTACGTAATATTGATGGTACTAAGTTAACTACAATGAATACAATTTATTCAACGATATGCCATAGGCAATCATCATCATCAGACAGACAGACAGACAGACAGAGACTTTTTTTAGCGAAAACTGAATTTCTGCATCATGATTGTCACATAATAATCACTTCTATTTGATTTTTTTTTGAGAAAAACAAACATGTTTTTCGTTATCACACAATCAGGAAGCAGAAAAAACATGAACAGAACAACACTTTGAATGAACTGACCATTCTACTAGTTCAAGACAGAAAGGAATACAAGTCAAATATCAAAAAAAGTATCCTATTTACAAAACAGAATTTAAATGGCTACGTATTATCAACTGCTGTTAGAATAAGTAAAGAAAATAAAAATCGATAAGTCATTAAAACCAACCGCTGATGAGAACATTTCACTAACAATCTAATGATTATCAATTACATTAAGTTAATAGGTTGTGTATGACTTTATGCTTTAATTGCTTGATAGAACTTTGACGAAGATTTGAATGTTTAATCAGCTATTCGGCAAAAAATAATGATAAATAGAGTTACCATGCTCACACATTGAATGAAAACATCTTTTGCAAGACAAGAGTAGTGTAAAAGAATCATGTTCATGTGAACATGACACTTCCGTGCATACTTCGATAAAATGTAACAAATCCTAATGAAGTTCACGTGGACAATTTTAATGATTTTTGATATAAAGATATCAATCCACTCATCATATTATTTATCAAAGCTTGTTGATTACATTCTATAATTTTATAAAAATGTTTTAGCTGTTTTGTCCGTGAGACGACAGTAACCAAAGGTTAGAGGCCTTGAATGACATGGCTCAAAATCGTTTGCATTGGTGCAGGTGCACCCATTCTTTGTATTCGCTGAAATTCTAATCTTCTGAATTCCACATAATCTCTATCTTTCTCTTCCTAATGTTTTCTCACTGAATTATACTTCATGAATAATATTCTCGAATCCTAGTCTTCTCCATTACCGCTAACACGTCTACTATCTCTACCACCATGGGATTTGAACTGTAAGTTGTGTCTCTGTGCTGATGCGGTATGGCAACGTGAACTGATGTACATAGGTACAAAGTTCTACGTTGTAACTGACTGACTCATTTTGTTCGAGCTGCTTCAGAGTTAAATTAACCAGACGGAGAGCAGCAAACCAGTCAAAAGAATCAAACTAATTGTATTGGATAACTTAAGATAGAAAACATACATGTGTCACTATAACTGGTCTCATTTAACATCTCCAGTCGTAGGTTGACCTACTACTACTCAAAGCTGAAAACTCAATCGAGAAATCTGATTTAGCGATTTGCAACCTCTATTAATTAAGCGCTCTTCTCTTTGCCTTAAAAAAACTCACATTCAGTGGCTACACAATATGCGAGCAATCATTTGACAGTAACTATAATCAGAGACCTAATATCTTATTCACACTTACTCTTCTTAATGCTCAATGTGCCCAAATAGTAGGCTTGTTCTTCAACAGCTACTGGTAGGAATAAATGCTTCAATAATCGCTCAGGATTATACTTGATGGCAGTCAACTGTTTTAACATACGCTATTGTTTATCGAGGTTGATATTATATGTTTTATAATACTTTTTAATGCGGGCTGATTTCACCAACAAAGTCAAGAGTACATTTAGTACTAAACCCATACATTTCTCTATGTTATGTGTGAATCGAAAACATCTCCTCCTAGTTCAAATTATCCTATCAATTTCGACTTAACTATTCTCTCATTGCATAATGTGTCAATCATTCATGAATAAGTTCAGTTTGTTGTCATCTTCCCTTTTCTCTCCTTAATTCAATTCACACACACTTTTCTTTGACGTTCAACATTTATCATAACAGGTTTCAATGAAAACATTTAAATAGAAGAATAGAAATTCCAGTTGGCGATAGGTTAAATAAAAAAAAACACTGCTATCAAATAGATGAATTCTATGACACACAAATACTAATATACAATACTAAATACATTTTTATTCAGTCACACAATTAAACCGATAATCTATTCAGAGTATTTCATCAGTCAGTCAATTGCAACGTAGAACTTCGTACGTATGTACATAAGTTCAGGTTGCCATACCACATTACCACAGAAACGCAAATGTCAAATCAAATCCCATAGTGATAAAGATAGTAGAGGTATTATTCGTAATGAAGAAGACTAGGGTTCGAAGATATTATACAAGAAGTATAATTCAGTGAGATAAAGTTAGAAAGATAAAGGTAGAGGTGCTGACGAATCCAGAAGATCAGGATTTGAGAGAGCTCAAAGAATGGATGCACTTGAGCCATTGTAAACGATTCTGAGCCATGTCATTCAAGGTCTCTAACCACCAGTGACTATCATCTCGCGGACCCCAACCAGGTAGCCTACATCTACCAACATGACTCAGTTCAATTGTCAGTGACTTCATGCATTTGTGCCATGTTTTGGTTTGGCCGCCCCTAGCTTTCTTCCAATCTACTCCTACACTGCAAAACATAGCTCGTCGAGGCAGTTGGTGGTTAGCCATACCTAACACATGTCCCAACCACCTCAACTGATGAAGTTTCAATACTTCATCTATTGATTTGCCGTTCTTACCTAGAACTCGTTTCCTAACTATGGTTATGTATATAACCGTTCAATAATAAAAACAAACATTTAACAACGATTCAATATTTTATATACTAACTAGATAAACAATCAAGTTAATTGAAGAAGAAAACATCAAATGAACTAATTTTTTTTCGTTTAAATTAAAAAAAAAATAAAATAAAATAATAAAATTCTCTATTTGTGAAAAGTTTACAGACTCGAAATCAATTCATTTTTTGGTAAATTAATATTCAGTTGAAAATAAAAAAAAACAAAAACAAAACATTTTACCATGGAAAATAATTTCCAAATCTAAATTTCTAAAAAAATGCCTTGTTTACTTGTATAATTAATAAACGTTAATTAAGAAAAACAAACATTGTTATGGAATTCATTCTATGATGATAAAAACAATTTTCATTGACGTAATTTTTAAGAAGCTTACTTAGTTTTACATTGAATTCATGAATGAACCGGTGTTAGACTATCATTAGTAATTTGGAAACACTGAAAGACGACCGTTTCGTCTTGGTATGCGACTCATCAGCAGTGCACATATCCACGACTCCTGAACCTCGCAGGATTCGAACCCAGAACCATAGGTTTTGAGCGCGAACGCCTAACCTCCGGATCACTGGGCCGGCATCCAACAGTGTCAATATCTAAATCTGATCAACCTAAGGATTTTTGCCATTGTCTTCGGTAGTTACTGCCTACACCTACACGGATTTGAATTCTATTGATTGTCTTAGTTTTATTTACACTAAAATTGAATATCATTACTTTTGTAAGTGAATAATAACACCAAGTGAATAAAAGTTGGACTTATTAAACAGCATATAGAAGTACAACAGGAAAGAGGAAGTTATGCGTTTCGTGAATGATAGTTTCCATTACAAATTAGCCTTACACAACCAGGATAGCCATTTCATCCTAGGATGCAACCTCCTCAGTCAGTGGTGAGTATATCCATAATCTTATCGTATATTGTTGATCAAGTGAAATATGAAATAGACTACATGCACCTCATAACCGTGAATATTTGGAAGAATCGATTCTTTTAGTTAGGCAATACAGATATTTAATTGAGTAGTGAACTCAGTCAGTCAGTCAGTTGCAACGTAGAACTTCGTACATAAGTACATCAGTTCATGTCGCCATAACACATCAGCACAGAGATATAATTGTCAATTCAAATCCAATAATAGAAGAGTTAGTAAGGGTATTAGAAGTAATCAGAGAGGTTAGGATTAGAACATATTATTCAAGAAGTATGATTAAATGAGAAAAGTTTAAAAAGTCAAAACTAGAGGTATTGAAGAATCCAGAAGATTAGGATTTAAAAGAGAACACAAAGAATACTTGATTAACAATTAAAATTAACCCATCGGAAACACATTCAATGATCAATTCATAATTAATAAACAATTGAAAATAGATATTGCAAATCATCATGATGAAACTGTTTTCTTTAGCTGTGCTTACCTGAGAAATGCATTTTTGACTTTGTTGTGCGTATACACATCTTTGATGAAGAATATAATTGTGATGAATCATAAGAAGGATGAAGAGTGATATCGGGAATTTTATTTGTCATAGATGATGTTGCTGAATTGATTTTCATATTATTATTATTAATATTATTATTATCACTAGTATTGTGATTATTATTATTATTATTATTATTATTACTATTATTATTGGATGAAAGAAATAGTAACAATTCAGGACTAGGTACAGAATCAATAAATTGATCTGATTTAAATGATCTCTGGTTTAATGATGATGGTACACTACCAAGATCACTTGTAACAGCAACATTATTAATATTTATATTATTATTATTATTACTATTATTACTATTGTTATCATTATTAGGAGCTGTATGAGTGAATTTAGGGGAACGATTTACACTATTATTGTTATTACTATTTGAATTTTGTGAATTATTTGTACTAGACAGATTATTATTATTATTATTATTATTATTACTAATGACATCATTCAATGCATTGGACATAAAATGAAACGGGCTAAAATTGGAAATGCACATTTCATCATCTAGAATAGAAGATGAAGAATTTTGAAGTGATTGTTGTTGGTGTTGTTGCTGCTGCGGTGGTGCTGGTGGTTGATGTTGTTGTTGTTGCATTTTACAAGAATTTACTGAAGGTATAGACTCATGAATAATAGGGAAATGATTAAATCTTTTTTGCATAGACAATGTATCCGGTGTAGTTTGTAAATTATGCGATGAATTTTGTGTATCATTCATTTTTGTACTATATAAATCATCTTTATTTTTAAGATTAGTACATGAAGAAAGATTCGGTTCATGTGAACTGGATAGTACATGTCTATTGGATGATGGTGAGGTTGAAGGTAAATTAAAAGAATTATTATATAATTCTGATTGATTAGATCTGTTTGAATCTGTTATTGTAGATGTTTGATTGCTTTCCCATGATGTGACATTTAAATGCTTATTAGGTGGCAGATCACCACTACCACTACCATTTCCTAATAAATGTGTTAAACGATGTGAATCACAGTAGCTAGTAGGAGGTGGTGGTGGTGAATGAGTGATTTGTTTTAAAGGTAGAATAGGTGAACGTGATCTTGATTCTATGGTAGTAGAAGTTTTGGAATAGAAATATTCATCGTATGGTTCAAACATAGGCCTTTTAATACGTTTCGATGAAGGCAATGAAGAACGTTGCGTTGCATAACTTGATGGTTCTGAAAAAGAACCAGGACTTAAATGTGCATTGGTAGCAGTGCGATTATTGAAATGATCTGTACTTTGATTACCAATTGATAATGCTGACAATAGATGATTATTGAAACAATCTTCAACATCATTTCTAATATTTTGAACATTTTCCGGACGAAATTGACCTGACACAACAGATTTCATGCTAGGATCGAGTAAATACGGTCCACGATTATGAGCTGGAAATTCTTGAGATCCAAATTGTATTTGAGGGATATGATTACTAGAATTAGGACGTAAATTTGAGTTGAAAGGTTGATTGGTTTCATCATGCAGCATAATCTCTCGACATAACTCATTAACACGTGATTCACCTACTAGTCCTACTCCACTAGTAGTATCATGTTCACGATAAATCAAATTATCATTTTTTGTTTCTCGTTTACTAGGTGTAGTGAAATGCATCGATGAACCTGGTGCGTGTGTAGGATTTGCATGTTGGTCAGTTATACTTTCAGGTGTAACAGAATGTGTCATACCAGGAATGTGTTTCTAAGTAAAGAAAAAAATCAAATCGAAAGTAAGGAATACATAAATACTTTAACTTGAAAGTCGTCTATCTAAACGAAAAACGAGTACCAGTTAGGAGTTTTACAGTAGTATCTGTTTTAAATATATAAATTACTGAATTACTGAAGCCTTCGGGCTTCATTGAACTTGGCAAACAATCCATTTGAACAGCTTTAAAGCTTAAAACTGTTTAATAAGGTTTCATCTTAATGCATATCAAAGATCTCAACGAAGAACTTATATTAGGTGAGATTAATGTTGAGCTCACGAATCGATGTAAGTTGGCTAACCATGAAAAACATGAAGTCATTAAGAGTTCGCTTCAACCTAGGTCACTGAGCCAACATCCAGTGATGTTAATACCGGTTATATGTAGTCAGTCAGCTACAACGTAGAACTTAGTAGTCTACACCTACTAACACGGATCAGTGCAGTTAGCAATGACTCTATGGATTTGTGCCATGTTCTGGTTTGGCGATGCCGGAGACGAGAATCCGTGAGGTAAGCTGAGGTGTGACATTTTTAGGATCAAACTTTTCCAACTCCTAAATTCCATGTTAGAAAACAGTATCGTTGCAGATGATAGTATCCGAGGGAAACACCTTACTGCTGTCACACCACTCTACAGTCAGCAGTACAACTTCGCCCTCAGACCTCGAGTTGCTGCTTTTAGTCTCCCCGTTCTCCAATCGACCTACCTGGCATTGTAGGACCTAAATTAACACATGTTCCAGCCAATATAGCTAGGTTGGGTTATCACGATTGACAAGCCCAACTACCACGTCATCATTGGTAACTTAGTATGTATATATATTGTTGTTTCCGTTAGTCAATAGACTTGACTGGTCGGGATCATGTCCAAGAAGACTGAATTGAGGTAATAACTACCTGGCACTGTCCAATGTAACAACCGCAACCGTAGTGACAGAACCATGAAAATATCGACTTGTCAACTGATGTTGCCAATGGAATTTGAAATCACACTAGCCAACCAGCTTTACAATAATACAACTTTATCAATTAAATGTGTCGAGCTAACATGGATCTCGTTTTCAAAGTAATTCATTTATTCTAAAAAAATTTCCAAATAATTTAATTAATATTCTTTATCTTCTCCGAGTTCTACTGGGAAGTCGTGAGACCAGTGACTATTCAACCTGTTCGGGTGTAGGCAATGTCTACCGAAAACTGTGTATGAGGTTGCGCAACTCCGTGAATTTGATCAAGTTAGACATTAACACCGTTAGATACCAGCTCAGTGGTCTAACGGTTAGGGTGTTCGCGCACAATACCGAAGGTCCTGGGTTCGAATCCTGCAGTCAGTCAGTCAGTCAGATGCAACGTCGAACTTCGTACGTAAGTACATCAGTTCATGTCGCCATACCACATCAGCACAGAGAAGTAATCGTCAATTCAAATCCAATAGTAGAAGAGGTAGTAAGGGAATTAGAAGTAATCGGAGAGGTTAGGATTAGAAGATGCTATTCAAGAAGTATGATTAAATGAGAAAAGTTTAGAAAGTCAAAACTAGAGGGGTTGAAGAATCCAGAAGATTAAGATTTGAGAGAACACAAAGAATAAATGCACCGGCGCCATTGCGAACGATTTTGAGCCATGTCATTCAAGGTCTCTAATAATCGATTATTATCATCTCGCGAACCCCAACCAGGTAGTCGACAATTACCGACATGGCTCAGTCCACTAGTCAATGACTTTATGGATTTCTGCCATGTTTTGGTTTGGCTGCCACTAGCTTTCTTCCAACCTACTCCTACACTACAAAACAAAGCTCGTCGAGGCAGTCGGTGGTTCGGCATACGCAACACATGTCCCAACCACCTCAACTGATGAAGTTTCAATACTTCATCTATTGATCTGCCATCCTTACCTAGTACTCGTTTCCTAACGACAGCATTGCTCACTCGGTTGTCCCACGGTTCGAATCCTGCGGGGTGAACGAGTCAGCGGATGCGCACTGCCACTGAAGAGTCCCATACCAGGACGAAACGGCCGTCTTTCAGTGCTTCCAGGTTTCTAATGGTGTGGTCTAACATTGATCGATTCGTGCTTTCAAAAATGTGTATTCTTTATCCATAAAAGAAATCTCTCTCCAAGTATGTATTAATGTTTTAATGGTAAAAAAAAGAAAAATTCTAAAAAATGTCACACATTTTCTAGCATAAAACATTTTTAAATGTATCTTGTTCATTCAAAGAAAGAAATATTGATAAGAAATTTATTCAACTAGGAATTGGTTAGTTAACAAAGAAGACTAATTCTTTTTTTTCGTAATTTTTTTTAGAAAAAAACGAAGTAATGAATGAATAGTTGGTTTGAAGTGAATTTTTAAGCATCGAAATAAAGACAAGGAAGGAAGGAAGGAAGGAAAAAAAACAAACTCTTTACTTTGCATACCTTTAATAAAACCGGTGTTATTTACTTTATATATATATATATATATATATATATATATATATATATATATAGTGTGGATCAATAAGATGCGAAAGAAGGAAATCAGTTCAAACTACTAAATAAAGTAAAGAAAGATGTATAATATACATGTACATGTATAAATTAACACAGCGAACTAAATCGATAATCGCATAAGACGACTTTCAAACAATTCTATTGTAGAGAAAACAAAACAACCAACCAACCCAAAAAGCTAAAATAAATCAATAAAAAATATCACACTAACTGGTAAGTCAGACATTGTTGTGCCAGGAAAATCCAATGCCATTGAAATTGATGAAGTAATCGGGGTTTTAGTTCCAGTACGTGTAGATATATCTGCTTCACTTAATTGATCAGTTGTATTAGAGAAGAATGGATCATTATTATCACTGGCTGCATCACCATCGGATAAATAAGAAAATTTGCCTTCTTTACGATTGATCAACTGTGATTATTCCAATGTGTGTGTTGATTATTATTATTATTAGGGTGAAAAAAAACAAAAGTACAAAGTTTATAATTATTTTATAGAATAACAATAACAATAATAATGAAATTGGTATTATGAAATATACCGGTTAATAAGTGAGTTTATTTATTATTTATTATTAATTATTTTTTATTTTTTCTGGTTAGCGTATTTTTGGCAAGTTAGCTTTCGACAGAATGGGGTCGCTAACCCCATGTCCAACCCTCCTTCTTTATGCGGGATTGGGACCGGCAGTAGCCCCTAAGGTTCTACTGGCGGAGGGCGCAGATTGGCAAAGTAAGGGCTGCATTTCAACAGTCGAAAAATATCTGGAACTCCAAACAACTTTCAACCAAAATCAAAATAAGGATTTTCAATACAAATGTCAAGATAGTTCTACTATATGGAGAGGAAACTTGGAGAACCACGAACGCCATCATTCAGAAGATACAAGTGTTTATTAACAGTTGTCTACGCAAAATACTTCGGATTCGTTGGTCAGACACCATCAGCAACAACGTACTGTGGAAGAAAAGAAACCAGATTCGAGTGGAGGAAGAAATCAGGAAGAAGCGGTGGAGTTAGTGGATAGGACACACACCACGAAAAGCACTTAACTGCATCACGAGAAAAGCCCTCACATGGAACCCTCAAGGCAAAAGGAAAAGAGGAAAGCCAAGGAACACATTACGCCGAGAAATAGAGAAAGATATGAGAGGAATGAAAAAACATTTGACAGAACTGGAGAGGAAAGCCCAGGACAGAGTTGGTTGGAGAAAACTGGTCGGCGGCCTATGCTCCATTGTGGGTAACAGGCGTAAGTAAGTAAGTAAGTATTATTTATTATGCTTGTCACTTGATATGCTCGAAACTATTACGAGTTCAACTTAGTCGATAAATGAGAACGAGACAATGAACCAGTGACACGATAGGCTACTCTGACCCGTAGCCCAAAACTAACTGACGAAAAAGTCTTGATATGGCGTAGAAAGTGTATTCTACAAACATCCAGCAAACACAATGATATCAAGCACACAAATCGAGTTTATTTATACATTATAGAAACGTCCTTAGGAGAGTCACAAAAATGGCACACTAAAAATAACACACCAACCAATTACAGACAAGGATTTTCCTGGTGATCTCAAGGTCGACTGATCAGACTATGAATAAAAACCGAAATGAAGGCCTTTATCAAGTGAGTTTTGGGGATCTAACCTCTCCAACACTATTATGATGTGTTTATTGACCAATTAGCTATTCCATAATGAAATTTATTCATTTTTACACATAAATAACAATAGATAATTTTCAACATGTTTTATTTAAATGATTATAGAGATGAAGTCATCAAAAACAATAATAATAATAATAATAATAACAAAGAACATTTGCATAAGTTGACAAACAAAATCCCAACATCGAAGAGAGACATTGAGACATTGTTTTTGTTATTACACACAATTCAGTCAGTCAGTCAGCCAGTTACAACGTAGAACTTTGTACATACATAATATATACATCAGTTCAAGTTGCTATACTATATATACATTAGCACAGAGATGCAATTGTTAATTCAAATCACATATTAATAGAGATAGTAAAAGTATTAGAAGTAATCAAAAAGATTATTGATTTAATGTATCATTCGAAAATGTATAAGCCCAGAGGAATCAATTAAAAACAACGAGCAAACAAAAAACGATCATAAGGGATTCAGAAGATTAGGATTTGAGAGAAAACAACGAAATGGATGCATCTGCGCCATTGCAAACGAAAAAAGACACTTACAACCTGATACTAACAAAATATATATCACTATATATAAAACATGAAAGCATAAAGAGCGGTGTAGTATATATGTAGTGAACGAGAACACAGGTGGGGCAACCGAATTGTATTTAACGAAAATTACAGAGTTACTCAGTAAAATAGGAAAATCATATCGTAAATCGTTAATTTGCAAAATATCAGTTCATCATATTATCGAACTGGACTGTTCCTGTTGCAAAACATCAATCCATTGTCACTATTCATGTGTTTCATACAAATTCCATTGTTTTCTAACTCTTTCTTTCTTGACCTTCCCGCATCTTCTGCTGCCAGACATTAGGTTGACACTCACGTCATATACTACTTATAAGTAGCTCACACCACATATATACGAAAGGGAACAGCTCAAAATATGAAAATTTCGCAAAAATGTATCCTAAGTTTAGACAAATGAAACACGTGAATAAATTTTCACTCTCTGTTATGATCGATTTTGGGAATTATTTTAGTTTTACTAGAAATTTCAAACAATTATCAGATACAATTCGTGTCATAATTTAAGAAACACTATGAACCAAAGATATTTTCTACTTCGAAACCTTTTTTCCAAATGAAATTTGAAATTAATTGACATAGTTTATAAGAATTGTTGTCTACATTTAAACAAATAGTTTAAAAATAGTTGGGCGCCAAGTTAATTTTTGAGTTCAGTTAAATTCGTTTGAAAAAGCTTGGATCACAATGTCAAGTAAAACGTTGGATTTGTTTAGAGTTCAATCGCTGAAACTTACAATTATATAATTTGCCTCTTTAGTTGATCTAGTATAGTGTATGCATGTAATCATTTTTCCTAGTATTCATCGAATATGGGGTTTTTGTATTCTCCTCATCAATATAATATTTTGTATGCATTATTATAGCCATACATTCTGGCTTCATAAATGGAGATAGAATTGATAGATTTGAACTTGTAACTCAGTAGCTGAAAGCACAAACATGTAACTACTACCATGTTACAACTTAAGACTTAATAATTGAAAACTTAATACTTTATAAACTAATCAATATTTTTACTATGAAATTCCCTTTTCGATTTTTTAATATTTTACATTAGTTATACTTCCAATCAATTGGTAAATAGAAGATGATGGCTTTCGTAGTTCCCCAGGTTTCCGCTCCATACAGTAGAACTGTCTTCACATTTGTATTGAAAATCCTGATTTTGGTTTTGGTTGAATGTTGTTTGGAGTTCCAGATAATTTTCAAATGCAGAAATGCAGCGCTTGCTTTGCCAATTCGCGCCCTCACATCTGCATCGGATCCACCTTGATTGTCGATGATGCTGCCCAGATATGTAAAGGTGTTAACGTCCTTCAAGGCATCTCCATCAAGAGTGATTTGGTTGGTGCATGTTGTGTTGCATCATAGAATCTTACTTTTCCCTTTATGTATGTTGAGACCTATTGCTGCAGAGGCTGCTGCTACACTGGTCGTCTTTTCTTGCACTTGTTGATGCGTGTGCGGTAGAAGAGTCAGGTCATCTGCGAAGTCCAGATCGTCCAGCTGCGTCCTAACTGTCCAGTTGATACCTTGCTTCCCTCCAGATGCTGACGTCTTCATAATCCAGTCGATTGATGACCAAGAGAAAGATAAAGGGTGAGAGTAAGCAACCTTGCCTAATACCGGTTTTCACTTCGAACAAGTCTATCGGCTGTCCTCCGTGCACGGTTTTGCAGTTTAATCCATCGTAAGAATTTTGTATGATGCTGATTATCTTCTCGGGCACACCGTAGTGTCGAAGAAGCCTCCACAGTGTTTTCCTATCCACGCTATCGAATGCTTTCTCGTAGTCGATGAAGTTGATGTAGAGTGGTGAGTTCCATTCAATTGATTGTTCCACAATGATCCGTAATGTAGCAATTTGGTCAGTACACGATCGATCCATACGAAATCCGGCCTGTTGATCTCGAAGTTGGGCGTCTACGAAGTCCTTCATTCTGTTTAACAATACCCTGTCGAAGACTGCCTGGTATTGAAAGAAGAGTGATGCCCCCGTAGTTCTCACACTTGCTGAGATCGCCTTTCTTTGGTATTTTGATCAGATATCCTTCTTTCCAATCTGATGGTACTTGTTCCTCATCCCAAATCTTCTTGAAGAGGATATGAAATATTTTCGTAGTTGCTTCCACGTCTGCTTTGATTGCCTCTGCCGGAATGTTGTCTGGTCCTGCTGATTTGCCGCTCTTAATTTGTCTGATGGCCATACTGATCTCCTCAATCGTAGGTGCGCCAATATTAATTGGGAGGTCCGTGGATGCTGCTTCGATTTTTGGTGTGCATTTAAACAGACCTAAACTGCCTATTTTTGTTCGATTGAATAGGGAAAAAGATTGTTAGATAAATTAATGTACATGTACCTTTGAAATCAAAATCAGAATCCGTAGTAAATATAACGTAAATTCTAAAAAATCGTTAGTTGTATATCTTTTCTTTTCATAGTGACTTTATTGTCACTACTCTATTACGACTTTATGCCTCCAAATTTTAATTGTATTAGTTTTTTTTTCAGATTCATAAACTTATTGACTAATCTCAACAAAATGTTATTCCTAATTGTTATTAATTTATGTTCAACTGCTTCATTATATAATCAATTGATTATATATATATATATATATATATATATATATATATATATATATATACACGATCGCTTGTTAGTATATCTGATGGTTTCTTGCATTTCATATTCATTTACAACACTCTTTAGATAATATCTTCAATCTCATTATTCAATCATGACGATGCATACCCCTATTATACTGTTATGAGTATATACACATTACAATAATTCTGATTTTTAAAATAATATAGATTGTAAGCAATTGATGAGGATCTTATGAAATAAAATAAATTCATGTTATTCTTCTCAACTCTTCGTTCTTGCTCTCTTCAAAATTCATGAAGATTTACATTTAAGTTTATGAGTTGCTTACTCTTACATTTTCTCTTTCTCCTGATGATAGACTGGATTATATAGACGTCAACATCTAGAGGGAAGCACGGTAAACAGTGGAAAGCCAAACCGCAGCTGGACGATCTAGACTTTGCAGATGATCTGGCTCTTCTATCGCACACGCAACAACAAATGCAGGAGAAGACGATCAGCAGCAACAGGTATCAACATACATAAAGAGAAAAGC